ACTTTGTATACACCAAATCCTTTGTATTTGTTTATGATGTTTCCTTGATAATAATGGCCACCTCTCTCCAGCTTTCCTATCTCAATACGGCCAAACCCTTCCTTCCCTTCCAGACCCAAATCAAGTCACTCTCATCCACAAAACGATTCCAGCCATTTCTGTCCACAGCACATCAAGAAGAGAGAGGGCCAACACCCCTGTGAATGTCAACTTTGTAAGCAGTTAAAAAATAGGAGAGGGACTCTAAGAAAGAGAGGAATAGAGGAGACAATGTCCCCAATCACAAGAAAGAAGAGTTTCAAACAGGGCAGGGGGGTGGTGGTGGTGGTGGTGATAAATAGCCTTAGAAACCAGACAAATGCAGAATGACAACAAAGGGTTTCCCACTTAGAAATAACCATGGATCTTTAAGAGAAAGTTTCATAAGTGTTCAGGATGGAAAGCATACTAATAAGCATAATAATAATAAGCATCATAAGTAGGGATGGAAAGCATATTGTCAGAATTCAGGAGTGTGGAAATAGAAGAAAGGTAGGTTGCATTTAAAGATAGGAGAAATATGGATAGTTGACAAGAGAAAGATTAAAGATGTAGAGGCAAGAAGGGATGGCTGATGGTGCTGAATAAGAGAGATGGGTGGGAGTCATTAGTGATGCATTGTTAAAGGAAGCTTCACAACATTCTTCACAGAATTGCCAAGACTGCATAAGGCAGTAACTTAACATCACATGTGCCAGTTCCTCACATGTTGGAACAATAGCAAAAGGCCATAAAAGATGCCTGACAAGCAACAGGTCTGTGTTAATAAGACATTGAGGAATGAGCACAAAACCAACTGAGGTAATTGGAGGGTCGCCCAACCATACCCATTTAACTTCTCCTCCATTTATCTTTACCAAAATAAATGTTCAGGGCTTTCATTCATATACTTAAGAAAATGTTTTACAAAATCTTTCCCTACAACATCATAGAATTCAGATTGGGAAAGGGCATTAAAGTTACGTAATCAGCAATGGGCAGGAGATGTGAATAGACATTTCTCCAAAGAAGACACAGATGGCCAACAGGCACATGAACAGGCACATGAAAAGATGCTCAATATCATTAACCATCAGGAAAATGCAAATTAAAGCCACAATAAGATATTACCTTATACCTGTCAGAATGGCAAGAAATAACAAGTGTTGGCCAGATTGTGGAGAGAAGGGACCCTCATACTTTTGGTGGGAATGTCAATAGGCGCAGTCACTATGGAAAACAGTATGGGGGTTCTTCAAAAAGCTAAAAATAGAATTACTCTATGATCTAGTAATTGCACAAATGGGTATATACCTAAAAAATACAAAACCACTAATTCAAAGGGATACATGCACCCCTATGTTTATTGCAGCATTATTTTTAATAACCAAACCATGGAAGAAGCCCAAGTGTCCACTGATACATGAATGGATAAAGAAGATGTGGTATATATACAAAATGGAATATTATTCAGTCATAAAAAGGAATTAAATCTTAACATTTGCAACAACATGGATGGAGCCAGAGAATATGGTGCCAAGTGAAATAAGTCAGTCAGAGAAAGACAAATACCATATGATTTCACTTGTATGTGGAATTTTAGAAACAAAACAAACAAGTAACGGGGAGGGGGGGGGCGGAGAGAAAGACACACCGAGAAATAGACTCTTAACTGTAGAGAACAAACTGATGGTTACAAGAGCAGAGGTGGGTAGGAGGATGTTTGAAACAGGTGATGGGGATTAAAGAGTACACTTATCATGATGAGCACTATGTATAGAATTATTGAATCACTGTATTATACTCCTAATATAACATTAATATAACACTGTATGTTAACTAAGTAGAATTTAAATTAAAAAATAAAGAAAAAAAAAGAAAATGAAAACACTAACTTGAAAAGATACATGCACTCCCATGTTCAATGCAACATTAATTACAACAGTCAAGACACAGAAAAAACCAAAGTGTCTGTCAATAGATGAATGGATAAAGAAGATGTGGTATATACATACATATATATACAACAGTAATAACTCAACCATACAAAAAGAATGAAATCTTGCCATTTATAACAACGTGGATGAACCTAAAGGGTATTATGCTTAGTGAAATAAGTCAGACCAAGAAAGACAAATACTGTATGATTTCACTTATGTGTGGAATTTAAACAACAAAACAAAACCAACTCAGATAAACAAAACAGAATGATGGTTTCCAGAGGAGAGGAAGATTTGGAGGTGGAGGGAGGGGGGGTGAATAGGTGAAGGGGACCAAGAGGTATAAACTTCTAGTTATAAAATAAATAAGCCACGGCAATAATAATGTACAGCATAGGGGATATAGTCAATGTCGTATTAGGTTTCTGTGGTGACAGATGGTAACTGGACTAATTGTGGTCACTATTTCATAATATATATAGATGTTGAATCACTATGTTATACATATGAAAATAAAATAATATTGTGTGCTAACTACACTTCAATAAAAAAAAACTTATCTAATCATGGACAACAATGCACCCAAATCAAGAATGACATTTTCTTTTTCCCAACTGCAGTCTCCTTTTGCTTCTCTGTAGGGTAGTATTTCTTTTTAAAACATTTCATTCTTCCACTAAAATATGACAAAGGCATAGTCAATAAATAGAAATTCTCATCTTTCCATGTCCAAATCTCTAACTGGTTTAATAATTCACTCCCTCTCAGTGCCTAAAAAGGGGGACTTTTATCTTTGAATCTCTCTGTAAAGCCATTCTCTTCCCCTCCCACTTGCTAAATGGACTCCATTTATCACTCATTTTATGGAAGCTTATCTAATCCAGGAGAAGTTTGATCAGATAACCTGGTCCTTAGAAAACCAGAGGAAGATTGCTAGGAATGACTTCTATTGTTTAAGAATCTCTCTTTGATCTGAAATTTTTAGGAAGGCTACAGGATGTCTCCAGGGTCTCTTGCGTTTTTGATGGTCCAGGAAATGATTACCCTGGTCTCAGAGTCTGCAGTCTTTGCTGAACGTGCTCACTGGATTGAATCCTTCAGAATGATTTGAGGATGAGCTTAATCCCCAGTCAGAGACCGAACATTCCTAGTTTAATGTTGTGATATAATATGACAGATTTATACATTGTTCTGACATAATGAAATGCAAAGGAATGAAGTGTTTTATTTACAAAATAACCTCTTATTTCCACAGTTCATTCATAGTTACACAGGCTTTCTTGACCTTGTCAAAATGGCCCCAGGAAGCATCGCCATGAACCTTGCAGAACAGCCTGACCACTTTACAAAGACCAGAGCATTGGGCCAGAAAGTCATGAGGGAAGGAAACAACAACATAAAGAAACAAGAAACAAAACCAGGAGACCTGGGACCATCCACTCCTCAAGAGCCTCCATCCTTTCCTCTGTGTGGATACAGAAGTCACAGAGTAAATGTTGAATGAATCCCTTCTCAGGTTCATCATTCACTCAACAAACATTGCTGATTATTGCTTCAGCAAACACTGTGTTCTTTCTAGGAGATATAAGGAAGTGCGTACAAAGATGAAAGGGGTACCGTTCTACACTCAAGGAGAAGGCAGCCTCGAGAGAGAACGAGGCAAATACTTCAATTCAATGTACTATACCCTACAGTAGAAAACATACAGGTATTAGGGGGTCACGGAGAAGAGATTAAACTAATCCTGGGGTAGTTAAGGAAGCCTTAGAGAATCATTTTAACTGAAAATCATTTCAGCTGTGTTACAATCCAAACTCCTATGAGTTTGGTTCAACTCCCCATGTAGAGACCATGGGGAAAGATTGGGTACTTTCTCTTCTAAACAGTGTTCTGGCTATAATATTAGAGGGTACAGAATCCTTGGCTATGACTCTTCAGGAAATTTGGAAAGTGTTTGAGTGAGTGTATAGAGAGACGCTGATTCCCACTCTCTTCCGGAGTAGTACAGGGCCTTGGCATGGGGAATAACAGGAGTCACTCTAGATAACGCCGTTCTTATTTACTAGAGCAAAGTACATGCCCCCAGATGGGTTTTCTGGTATATCTGCATAGGAGCAAGTGGATAAAAAAAAGAAATGCCTTTTTCATCATCAAAGTTTTTTATTTCCCCCTAGTTTTGAGAGAGAGGAGAAAAAGCAGACCTCATTCTCAAGCACAGCTCTGCTCAAAATGTGGTGGAAACATCAGCAGCATGAGCATCACCTGAAAGCTTGTTAGAAATGCAGAATCTCAGGCCCCAGGCCCAAACTACTGCATCAGAGGCTGCAGTTTAACAATCCACAGGTGATTTGATGTCTATGCCTGTTAAAGTTTGAGAAGCTCCGCTCTAGACCAGCGTGGTGGTTGAACACTGCAATCACCTGAGGAGGCTTTTAAATTACTGATCCCACCCCCCAGGAGTTCTGATTTAAATGGTCTGGCTTCCTAAATGATTCCAAATGTGAGAGAAGGTAGTAAAGCACGTGGAAGCCTCCTGTTCCCTATAAGAACCTCTGAAATCGCAGCGGGTCTGGGTGCTGCTGACGGGGAGTGGGTTAGGAAGAGCTTCCTGAAGCCCAGCGAAGCGGCTGCCCCTTCATACAGGTAGGAGCCGGGACCAGGCTGTCTGTTCAGGTTCAGGAGCTGGACTTACCCTTGGGCACGAACTCGTTAGGGCTATTCACCAGGCACTTCAGTATGTGGAATCCATGTAGAAATTTGTTATGGTAGATCAAAACCTTAAGCCTGGAATGTTCTACGTATGCTTACGTGTTTAGCTCATCCTCGGGCAAATCATTTGCATTCAGAGGAGGGTCCTGCTCTGTGGAAGGGAATAGAAAGGGAAAGGTCCAAGAAAAGCCAGGGGCCTAAAGCTGTCAAGCAAGAGACAAATAAAAAACCAGAGAGGAGTTAATCAAAGGATGCAGCACCCAGGGAACCCCAGCCATGAGTCAGCACAGGGGAGGCCCAGCCCCTTCTAGGGGAGCCTGACTGAGGATCAGGCTCAGCTGCTGGGCTGGGCAGTGCGTGCTGCTGTTTCTCGTCCCAAGACCAAGTCTTAATAGCAACTTCCCTTCCTCGGCTGCTTAGATTTTTTTCCCCCCTGTGGCTGGAAAGAAGTGTCACATTTTACTCTTAGCTCTCTCCCCCCACCCCCTCCCAGAGAGCATTTGCCCATGGGGGGGGGGGGCGCGGCACTGTGAGCTCCCTCCAGCCTCGGGTGACTGCTGTAAGTAACTTTCAGCTCCTCTCCTTGTAACACCATGACGTTCCTCCGGAAGCCTAGGAGCCGGACAGCTGCTTTTCTGCCTCTCTCCCTGCTCTTTTTGAAGATTCTGCAACCAGGGCACAGCCACCTTTATAGCAACCGCTACGCTGGGTGAGTGGAGCGACTTTCATTCCCTATATGGCTTTTAGTTGGAAGAGGGGGCTGATTTGCTCCTGAACATGCCTCACTTTTCCCCCCACGTCTGTGGTCTCTGTGTGAATCTGTACACTTTCCTGGTCACCTAAAGTAAAATGTGCGTGCAGCTCCCGGCTCTTGGGTTTAGCTCACTGAGAGAATGTGATGGTCCCAACTGTAGCTTTTCATACTTGTTATAGTGTGCCAGCCTGTGGCCCGCAGTTGAATGAGATTCTGTCCTTGGAGGAGCCACGGCCAGTATTTGCGGTGTTTGCCTTGGCTGATGCTCCGTAGGAAGGATGCTGTTGTTCCATGTGAACTATGACCTGAAAATGAAGACTTCTCCTTCAGAATTGTACACAGGAGTGGTTGAAACTCCATAGTGATTGAGAACGGTGTGTGAGCGTGTGTGAGTACTTGCTAACCTACGGAGTAGTTACTAGATCTTCAAATCTGAACAATGCAAATGAGCCACCTCAAAATAAGCAGAATGAAAGTAGCCAGTTGTGAAGCTATCGTATTTTTCTCAAGGGAGGAACTTAAACGGGGCAAACAATGAGGTACCTCCCCACCCCCACACAGGTTAGGGTACTTCATGTTTGCCTCTCCTAAGGAGGCCCAGGGCTGCGTATAAAGCAGTGTGACTATGCACCTTATTCTGAAGGCTTGCTGTGGAATATACGGCAAGCGCTTTGCTCCTGTTTGCAGGGGGGTGGTTCTTTGAATCTGGAAGTTAGGGCATTGCTGCATTTTTAAAGCAGGAATGAACCTTCGATGGCTCATCTAGTTCAATTGCATTTCACAGAGGAGGAAAACCAGGTCTTGGATCTTTTGACCCAATCCTTCAAGAACTACCAGTTGAGGAAAGTTTTTCACCTAGATGCGGACTAGGACCAGGTAGTGCCTGGGATCTTAAGGCAAAGCTGTTTTTAACAGGAACGGTGTAAAGAAGAGTTCAGAAGTATGACCCTGAGAAAGCAAAGGTTTCCCTTGCTCAAAGAATCTAAGCACTGCCTTCACTGTGTCTCCTGAATACAGTGCTTGCAGAGGAAACTTCAGAAAAGCTGTCCTCCATTTTAGGGGGTGCAGGCTGGGGGTGGAGGCATTGGCTGAGATAAGGGCTATAGATAACTCAATCCCCAGTTTTTACACCAGGGTGTTCCCGGGAGGCACAGAAAGGCATGAACATCTGAAGGCTGCTTTCCAGACTCCTGGACACATGGTACAGGCTTTACATTCTGTAATGTCCTTGCCCTTGGAGATCTGGGCAAGGGAACCATGTTTAAGGACTGGTGCAGGCCCGGCTGTAGAATTTACCGACTCTCCTGCACCAGGTGATAATCTATCTCGGGGCCCGTGTGACCAAAGATTGCTACTCCATTCAGCTGTGGCCCTGTTCTTCATTATCTGTTATGTGGTGTTGACCAAGTTCCCGGACCTGCTTCAGCTGAGCAGGTGTGTGTACTTCCCTAAGTGCCGCTTAGAGGAAATGAGGCCAATAGTGGAGACTTGGCTTTAGGGTTTGCTACCACTGGAACCTTTCTGCAGGAAGCTGAACTACCTTGTCTGTTCTGCAGTGAAAGCCTCAATGGCCGTTTTCCCTTTGGCTGCTATGTAAGTTAGTCCCAAATGTATAAATTACCAAATGTCTGAAAGTTGGAGGAAAAAGCTGAAACCCTCAAAACAAAGTAGCCTTGTCCATCACTGTGGAAGCCTACAGTTGCTGTAAAACCAGGAGTGTCTCAGAACACTTCCATCAAAAATGGGTTTTAACTTTGCTTTATTCTCACTCTCTCCTTACCAAGGACAGAAATGCCACTTCGGTTTGGGATTATTTTGCTTTATTTACTCAGGAACTACTTTGTGCAAGTCTAGCTCTTCCACAAATAAAAACCTGATGAGGGTGCACCTGGGTGGCCAGTCTGTTAAGCATCTCTTGACCTTGGCTCCAGTCAGGGTCTCACCGTCATGAAATTGAGCCTCGAGTCCTGCTTGGATTCTCCCTCCCTCTCTCAATACTTTTTTTTGTTTTAAACACTAAAAACCTGATGGATGACCTGGTGCAATAGTTAAGCCCCTATGAGGGGCTCAAACTCCCAAATTGTGAGATCATGACGAGCTGAGATCAAGAGTCGGATGCTTAACCAACTGTGCTACCTAGGCACCCCTGAAGCAACCCTATTTCTTGAATGTTAGTAAACCATTTTTTGTATGTCTTGGTTGAGTCTAATAAGCAATTATCATTTGTGGGACTCGCTACCTGAATAAAACCGAACACTCCAGGCAGACCAGCATGCTTCCTGAGTGCAGCTAATGAGCTCAGTCCTCTTTCTACATAAACTATTAACAGTTGTGTAATGCCAATTGTATAATGCTTAGTAAGTGGCAAATTGAATCATCTGGGGGTGGGGGAGGAATTAGACCAGGAAAACTTGACAAAAGTTAATACCTTTTTAGAGAGCTGTATTACATATTTACAAGAGAATCTTAAAAATACATAGAAAAATGAAGCCAAGTACACAAAAATTTCAAACGGTATTGATGGATACTGTCAGAAGGCTTCAGGGATTACAAATCCATAGTCCAACATTTCTGTGTTTAACACCAGTCAGTGGGATCCCTACACAAGCAACACTGCTTTTTTTTTTTTTTTCCCTTGCCATGAATTCCTGGAAGCAGACTTAATGGTTCTGTGATTATATCTGAAGCAAAAAAACAAGGATCTTCTGCATCACCTGAAATCTGTGTGCGTGTGTGTATACTCTAAGGCCATGAAACCAATTCTGGAAGTGGTGTAAAATCAAAGTGGGTATGATTTTAAGAACTACAGTATCTTCTTCGTGCCAGTCAGTGAGCATAACGTTTGAAAGTCCAGAAGTTCAACTGCCTGGGTTTCCATTTGTGCTTTGCCACTGTTAGCTCTGTTACCTGGGAGCAAGCTCCTTAACCTCTCTGACCCTCCATTTCCTTATCTAGGATAATGGAGATAATCTGAGAACCTTCCTCAAATTGTGAGGATTGAATGCAATAGGAGGTTATTGTATGGTTCTTGACACTAACAGGGTGATAAAGTAGCTAACACTTC